TCCTCTTGAGTAAAAAAAATAGGAAAGCCATCCCTATTAAATGAAAATGTTTTCCTTCCCATACAGGGGTGGAGGGCATTTAAAAAGGCTAAGAAAGGAATAGGAAACACATATTTAGGAAAACAAACAAACAAACAAACAGCACTGAGGAGATAGCTCAGTGGATAAAATTCATGCATGCTTTACCATCACCAAGATGTGGGTTTAACAAGAAAAAAACAGACAGATGAGGCGGGGTGTTCTTGTAATGCAGAACTGGAGAGGAAGAGACAGACAGATACATGGGGTCATTGGCCTGCCTGCCTGGCCTACCTGACCAACAAGAGCACCTGCCTCAAAAGTAAAGTGTAAGGCTCCTGACAAACAGCACTCAAGGTTGTCTTCTGGTCTCCACATGGCATGTACAACAAACAGATCTCTCTCTCTCTCTCTCTCTCTCTCTCTCTCTCTCTCCACATGGCATGTACAACAAACAGATCTCTCTCTCTCTCTCTCTCTCTCTCTCACACACACACACACACACACACACACACACACAAAATTTTAAAACTGTAAGCGATATATAAGCCATGGAATTTCAGCTGAGCTAGGTGAGATCACTAGAACCTCACCTCTTTATCCTAGCATTTGGATTTTGGAGTCATGGTATCCTAATGATGTAATTTACAATTTTACTTTGACAGCACAGATGTTGTTAATAAACTCCTTTTACTCCATCTTCATAAGTCCAAGCTATTTCCTGGCAAGCCTCCCCCTCCCCCTACAAATCAATACCCAGTAGTTTTTGTCAGGCTACCTAGAAGGGTGGGGGCCACCAGCTGCCGTTCCCTACTTCCCATCCCGGCAGTAAAAGGAGTTGGTCCATGACATCGCATTCTCTGGTGCTGAAGACTCCACCAAGACAGCTGCCTTTGGACAGCTGGCCTAGCCTTCGAAGCCTGGAATGCAGCCTCCTGGCTGTCAAAGGCACGGGTGTTCCCGAGCTTGCACATGACAGCTCAGCTTAAGTGTTGGCGACCTGCACAGTCCCTTCTGACTTCTGACCACCTAGAATGAAAGCCAATGAGTTCTAGTTGCCCAATTCCCAGTGACTTGCAGGGCTAGCTCTGGTATAGGACATAGCCTGGGCTGTTCCATTTGTTTGGGTCAAGCATTCATAGGCCTAGGGGAAGAGCTCTCCAGGAGGCAGGAGTAAAGAGGTCAAAAGCTACCCATGTCCACAAGATGTTCAGAGGACATAAAACATTCATAAATGAGAGGGAGACAAGAAAGCATTTCAGGTGGGGTGGAGCGAAAGAAAAGCAGCTAGGGTGAAAGAGAGGAAAAAATAGAAATAAAAACAACCTTAAATGAAAAGTCACTACACTAATTAACTCATTCATAGGTTTCAAAGAATTAGGCCCACAGCATTAGCTACAACAGGTCAAACTAGAAGGTCAAACAAAATCAGGTTAGAGCTGGCTTAAGTGGGAGGTGTGATTATTAGTAATTAGTGTGACTAGAAAAAGTCTTTGTCAGGGAACAGAGGCAATGCAAAGAACCTAATGGCTTTTACTGGCGGTTTAAAATTGAGAATAGCCTTTGAAAGCAAATCTAATTATACTTGTTGGAAATAGACAGAAGAAGAGATCTTGAAAGGGGGCAATGACTCGGAGATTTTTCGTGATTATATTCCCAACCAGTAAATATTTTAGGAGCTCCGAAAAAGAAAATTCAGATGGAAAAGCACTATAATCCTTGTACAAGCAATAGCCTTGATGAAATTTACTGAAGTAAATTAAACAACAACCCTTTAACATACAATTAGGTAAGGTGATACACTGCAAGCTATTTCAAAGCACTGAGATTAGACATTTTCTAAACAAAGGTAATAAAATATTTCAATCTCCCCAAGTGAAAAAGTCAAATTTAGAATGTATTTCTCAATTCTATACTTCCCTGGAGGATGCTCTTGTGATTATCAGTACATCTGTGTGTGCTAGAAGAGCCAAAGCTCAGTCAGGCTTGGACCCTCTCACAGGGAATGGTCTTAGCTTTGTCTGCACTCTCAAGAAGCGGTGATGCTTTGTGAAATCTTACAAAACTGCCCAGACGTTGTTGTCCAAGAAAACTGGGGTCCCCAAAGGCTCTGGTCTTTTGAACACTCACTCTTGCTTGGCGATGCAGTTTACAGGGAGGCTATGGAACCTTTAGGAGGGGAAGGGGGGAACATGACACTGGAGGTGGACTTTATGAGTTTTTAGCCTCCCCTACACATAGTGTGCTCTCTCCATTCTGTGTTTGCGGTCAGGTGTGAGCACTTAGGCCGTGTGCTGCTTTCTCTGCTTCTGCCGGCTCTTGGCCCAATCCTAACCTGAGCTGTGCCTCACTCTTCTCATCCTGGGAACCCTGCAATTCTCACACAAATCGTCAAGCTAAGTATACATGTTATATTTGGAGTGAAGGACTGGATAACATAAACCATATATTCAATGACCCAGTGAGGATTTTGAGGTCAGGATTCTGTGTTGCTTTTAGATTTAGGAACACATTATTCTGGTTTCGTCCTTGCTAAGCCCACACTCTATAAATACTGTCAAGAGTGACGTGACCACCCACTCTCTACCCATCAGAGCCAGCAGAGGACTCATGTGGCACAGACTATAACTGTAATTTACAGCAACAGCACTGAAAGGTAGGGTTGCTCTGTGGGGAGTTGCTGCCACACAAGTGAGGTGGGGCTACAATGAAAATATCAAGGATACTGCGCTGAGTGCAATAAGCCAGTCTTAGGACAGATGCTATATGATGCCACTCACATAAAGCACTTATCAAAATCAGAGACAAAAACAAATAAAGCTACTTACCAAATAGTGGGGAAGGAGAGAAGGAATTAGTGTGTGAGTTTGAGGGCGTCTAGAGTAGCAATGCTGTGAGACAAAAAGTTATGAAGACTGGCCAGAGAATGTGGCCACGGAAGTGTACAAGGGTAAGTGGATGCACTGCAAAAGCTAATGTCATGTGCTTTATTTTTATTTGTGTGCACATGTGTGTCTGTATGTGGGCATACCATGTGTATGGGTGCTCAGGGGCCAGAAGAGGGCACTGCATTCCCTGGAGTTGGAGTTACAGGCGGTGGTGAGCCACCTTACGTGGATGCTGAGATCCAAATTCTGATCCTGTTAATGCTCTTAACCACAAAGCTATCTCTTTAGCCCTTACTAGAGTTTTCATCATGATTTTAAGTTTAAAAAAAAAAAAAAAAAAGCAGATTTAGAATCAAAACAAAGCTGAAAAGAAAAGAATGCTAATAAACTTTATAGTGCTTTCAGGAACATAGTTATGCTAATGGCATGCTGTTTAAATACTGTTTTTCCTTTTCACATCCTTTAGAGAAGAGCTGTCAGGGTCTGAAAGGAACTGAGCTCTCATCAGGGAGAGTGGGAGGGGAAGCTAGACAGTAATGGTAATGGTGAGACAAAAAAGCTCTGACCAGTCCTGTCAGGTAAACAATGCGGAGATGTCTGGCTTTCCATTCCAGCCCCTTCCAGTGACTTAGTTCTTATCCGACAGACCACAAACTACTACCAGAGGTTTGTGGGGAAGCAGCTGAAGTGGGCAACAGTCATGGCTGTGCTGCAGATGGCCATTCAGCATGTGGTCTCTTTGGCCCCTCCCCAGACCCCCAAATCCACTGGTAATCAATGAAAGTCCAACTGAGACTCCCAGATGAGACAGAAACAAGCCTGGAAAACAACCCAGTGTCGAGACTGATTACAAATTCAAGAACTGAGAAAGTTCTCCAAGTGGGCAATCCCTTGGAAGTTTACACTGACCAGGAAGTCCTTCTACCTTTAACCATAGAGAACTAACCTTATCATCAACACAGCTTATCATCAACCCAAATGACTACTTCTACTTCCTTATGTTTTACACCTGTGGGAAACAGAGAAAGTTCTGAGTAAATGTATATTGTTGACACGCACATGGCCATGTCAGGGACCCCAATACCTCAGAACCATGGATCAGGGTCAGGGAGTAGAAAAGCCTTCTCTTGTTCCCGGTTCTGATGTTGGCATTGTATGCAGAAAATACCAGGCACAGCTTCCTGGTGATGGTTCTATAGCAATCCCCTACCCAGATTAGCTAACTGCCTCCATGGTCAACGCTGAGTTTCCTGGCTGCTGCAGGTATATCTCCATCAGAGCGCATGGACCATCTCCATCCCAGCTTTTCTGTATGTGTGTCTGTCTTCCTTCATTCCCAGCACTCTAGTCATGTTGATCTCTAAGCCAAGCACATCAGGGCAGTTTCCTCAGGGCTCTGCAAGTGATGATAACACCAGTACCCCAGACTCCTCATGGGCATACTTCAGTCTATCATAAACAGTAGGCTGAGTGTACACTCAGGTAGGTTAGTGTACACTCCCTAGCCAAATCCATACACTCAAATCTTAACTCCACTGTAAGGGCATTAGTAGGTGGGGCCTTAGTGGGGTAAAGGCATAATGAGGATGGAGTCCTCAGGATGAGATCACTGCCTCTATGAAAGACAATGAAGAGCACTGTCTCATTCCTCCCACCACGTCACAAGCCAGGTCACATGTGAACCAGGAAGTAGAACCTTCTGGCACACAATCAGCTGGGGCCTTGACCTCAAACCTTTCAGCCTCAAAAACTGTGAGGGGGTGGGAGGAGATGGTGATGTTTTTAAACTGTCTGTGGTGTTCGGTCTTGCCATACTGGTCACACAAGAAAGGAAGTCATAACTGCTGTGCCCTTCTACCCCACACTAGCTGGGACAGTTGCCGTTCTTCCTTTGCAAGGATGGTGTCACATACATCATATACAAGGTACATATTCTGCATGCGATGCCCTCTTAGACTCTGACTTATCACTTAAGAGAGAGAATAAGTCTGTGTGTGTTTGTCTATGTGGAAGCCTGTGAAGGGGACCACAAGTGCCCACGGGTAATGTAGAGTGGAATGTAGACATCATGAAACAACAGGGACTTGTTCTCACCTGCCCATAGTCTGTCTGGAAGACCACGACGCCTTCTGCACAGGAATTTACAGTACTCGGAAAATGCTGGCCATTTTCTCTTAGCCAGACCCGTGTTCCCTGGAAAGAAAACAAAATTTAATTATGAGTTCAAATGATATTCAGTCACAAAACACCACTCTTGAAATAACTACAACTCCTATATAGGGTTGTTAAAAGCAAATATAGGCCCTGGAGAGAGGGCTCACCACTTAGGAGCACTGGTTGCTCTTCCAGAGGACCCAGGTTCAATTCCCTGCACCCAGATGGCAGCTCACAACCTTTTGTTCTAGGGGAGCCAATACCTCTGTGTGCACCAGACACACAGTGCACATACTTCAAACACCCACACAGATAAAAAAATATTTTAAGACTAATCTGTGTGAAAAAGCAAATGTCTTCTTCAAGAAAGCAAAGGTTGCTTGAGAGAGAGCATTACCCACAGCCTTTTCTCATTCCCCATTGTGTGACAAATCCCACCAGGCAGACAAAGAAAGAGGATGGCACCCCACATCCCTACTGTGCAACGACCCTCCCAGATGATCTCAGTTGACTTCTGGCAGCCAGTAGGCAGGCACTATCCATCACTCCCACAGCACAGAAGGTGAAACAGAGTATTACAGATAAGTACCTTGTCCAACACACTAAGAAAGCTGGCTTCAGGAGCCACACCTTCACCCAGGCCACTACTTTGGTGTGAATTGGTGTGCCCCACCTTCCCAGGCCACGCTTCACACAGGTGTCTGCTTGAGAGACTTTGGCCCAGTCCACTGTCACAGTTTGTACTAAAACACACAAGCTAACATAAATCTTCAAAAGAGGGAACTGTGAGTACTTAGTTTGCTGGTATGGACTTTCCTAGGAATTCACAAGATACCTAAAAGGCTGTAGCCTAAACAACTATAGTTTATGGAGCTTATGTATATATATTTTTAACATTGATCTCACTTCCATTTTTCATTGTTCCACCAAACAGATGACCAGTAAGTAGCTTAAGAAGTGACCCAGAGAACTCACAAACCAGCCTTCCAATTTCTATTTCCTTTTTGAAATGAAGGTTGTACTCTATTTTTAATCGCATGTGTGTGAGAAACCTGAGGGCATTGCCCGTGAAGGCCAGAAGAACGGCTCAGCTCTCCTTGGGCTGTCATTACAGGAAAGGCTGTGAGCCTCCTGAAGTAGGTTTTGGGAACAGAACCTGAGTTCTCTACATGAACAGTGTGTGCCTTTAACCACCAGCTATCTGTCCAGCCCCAACTGCTCGAATTTATAATGCCATACTCTTTCCACTTCACATTTATGCAATCTGTCTCCTTAAATCAAATTAATTGTGTATTGGGGACATGAAGTCAAAAGAATGACCACTTAGGGAACAGAAAAGGGGTCAAGAGGAATGAAGTAAGTGGGGAGGACAGTGAGCTGGGATGGAGACCTTGACATTAAACTAATTACTACTACTACTAATAATAATAATAAACCTTCCCCACAAAAGAAACAAATGTATTACTGTAGTCAAGAAAAAAAAATCTTTACCAAACCCATTCAGAAATCATCCATCAGCAATTAAATACAACAAAGGGGTCATTTTAAGTGGGAAGTTATACATATAACATATGTAGGACAGTTCTCTCTCTTACTCCTAAAAAGGAAAATCTGCAAGATATAAGTTTGACTTATTTCTTCCCTCCATGCAGCTATTCAAAGTGCATCAGAAAGTATGGAAAGCTTTTGCTGAGACCACCCTTTCCAGAACCCTAAGTAAGTCAGCTTGGGCCAATCAAGCTAAACTCCAAGGTCCCAGCAAGAAGGGGTCACATGTTCAGAAGGCTTGAGCGTTCTTAAGACCAAGGTGGCCAGAGGCCAGAAGAGTGACAAAGTCCTTTCCCCACTGCCAGGGACACTTGATTGTCCAGTGAGCTTTGTGACTGCCAGGACCCAGGGGATGACCCTGGACAAGGCCCTCCCTCCTTCTGTACATGTTGGTAGATAATTTGTTCTATCCATAGTTTGTTAGCCATCACCCACAGAGGACGGGAATCCTCCGCTAAAAAGGTAGAAAACAGCATCAAACCCCAATATGAAGTGCGCTCTCAGGTTCTGAGGACTATTTAAAGAACACATGTGCCAACTGGGCCAACTTCCTTTCCCCCCCGAGGCCTGTCATGTCCCTGACTCCCCACTTTGGGCTGAGACACTAGGAACACATGGAAAGAATGACAACAGGGCTGCCAGACCTGATTTCTTTATTAGCAAACAGCTGCTTCCAAAAAGAACATTTATTTCAGACATCCGCTAAGACTGTTCTCTCAAGTGTCACTCCATACCCTAACCACAAAATTCTAGGAAAGGGCTTCCAAGTGGCTGAAGGACTTCATTCATTCTTTTCAATTTGTGCATTAGAGACTGCAATGGTTGAGTTTTGAAATACCTCCAAACATACATGCACATACCAACACATGCATGTATGTACATGAATACATATGCATATACATATGCATGCACACAAATACATGCACACACATGCACATAAATACACATATAGACAGAGATATGTTTTCACCTACACACATTTGTGCACATACACACATACAGAGAGAGATCTCCAGGGTAAGACTTTCCTCTGAGGTTAAAATATGAAACAGTAATTAATTCTCATGTTCACCCTCAAACCACAAGTGCCTACCAGGACTCTCACCTGCATTATTTTCAACAAAAAGAAGCTCACAGCTCAATATCCCAGTTTATTAACTTTTCTACTTAGTAAGAAGGAAGTATTTTTACCAAACAAATATAAATGTAGCCCAGGGGGTTGGAAAGATGATTCAGTTGGTAAAGTGCTTACCATGCAAGCCAGACAGCCTGAGTTCAGGGCCCCAGGATACATGTAAAAACCCGGGCACAGTGGCATACAACTTTAATCCCAGCACTGGGGAGGTGGAGATAGGCGTGTCCCTGGGGCTGACTGGCCAGCTAGTCTAAAGTAATTGATGAGCTTTACGTTCAGTGAAAGACCCTGTCTAAGAAAAACCAAGTGGAGTATGACTGAGGAAGATGCTGAACACTGATCTCTGGCCTCTATATACATGCACACACACCTATATGCCTCTATATACATGTATGCACACACAAACACACACACACACAATCAGGGTTAATGCAATCCTCTGGACTTCCAGAGGCCACAAGGAACAGACTTTGAATCTGTGCACAGTTTCTTAGCCTTACATCCTTGTCTTGGGTCTCTTTACCTTCTCCTCTAAAAGCTCTCCACTCTTTGTTGACACTGATCAAACACACAGCTTAGCTCTGTATCCAAAGGTCTTCTCAACAGGTATGAAGTACTACTGATAAAGAACCTTTATGAGATCTCAAACCCAGAGCCCGCCAGTTCCCCTAGATCTACAATAAGAAGTTATCTTCCATAGGGAGGAAAGGAAATGCATTCAAAGCACTCTTTGTTCTTGGAAGATGCATAAACTCGTGACTTTCACAGAATTCACACTGCATTTCAAACTCTGAAATGGATACCCTTGCACAGATCGCTCTCGGTGGTTTCTGTGGAGTCCCCAGTCTTCCTGCCTCTGCTGCTGCAGAGCAGGATGCACATGCCCAGGTCCAGAAGAGGCCACCCACAAGCACTTGGATTTAATAAGTTCACAAGCGGACATTTACCAGACCATCCAAATCTGAGTGAAGAAGAAAACTTTGCCCACCATATGTAAACTATTATAGTCTGTCACTGTTAAATAAGGCTGATAATATAATATACAAAACAGGCAAGCTAACATATGGAGAAAGCTCACAATTTGAGTAAAAATTCCCTTTATAAGCAAGCGGAACATGTTGAATTCTAACATATACATTTTATTAAAACACAGACATGTTTTCATCTTAAAAGTCTGAGACCAATGTTCGAGCGTTAAATTTAACAACTAAAAAAAAAAAAAAAAAAAAGGTTGAGAACTTAATATACAGTACTGTTTGAGGAACACAAAGCACTTGCATATGAATTCTCATCTCCTTTGATCTTCAGAATAATACCAAAGAAAAGCAAGTAACAAAGGTGGGGTTCATAGGAATTCCATTTTCAGTGGCCAGTGATTTCTGGGAGAGAATGAAAACACTCTACCAATCGTGGGTGAAGATACAAAGAAACTAGAGTAATGGGAAGTACATCCACTTCATAAGACAGTGGGGCAACCTCTTCAAAAAACAGCAGCCAAATCTTACTATACATATATATATATACTCCAGCAACCCAACCCCTAGACACTGAGAAAGAAAAAGAAAAACTCCAAGATGCATTAACCTACTGAAGAGCTAAGAAACTGACCAAATCTGAGATGGTTAATACTGACTGATAATCTGACAGGATCTAGAATGACTAGGAGTCAGCCTCTGGCCACACCCTGAATTGTTATCTTGATTGGGTTCATGAGGAAGGAAGACCTAGGCTAAAGGAAGATGGCATCATGCCCTCAGCTTGCGTCCTAGACTGTATGAAAAGTGGAGGATGCTCATTATTCTCAGCTTTCTGACTGAGATACAACATAATCAGCTGCCCCAAGCTCCTCCCACCATGATGGTCTGTACCTTTAAACTGTGAGCCAAACTAAACCCTAAGCTCTTCTTGTTGGATATTTTGCTACAGCAGCAGGAAATTGACTCACATGAAGCCTTGCATGCAAGCATTTACAGTGGCATTATTTATCCATAACAGCCAAACACTGAAAATAATTCAGATGTCTATCAATTGGTGTAGGTGCAGACAAAACATGGTAAATTTATGTGCAACCTCTCAGTAACAAGAAAAAAAAAATCACTGATATGTTCAATAGTTTCTCCAATAAGAATGAACTTCAGAAACATTGTTGGGAGTGATAAAGGCCAAATAAAAAAAATTATATATTGTAGACTTCCATTTCACAAAATTTCTAGGAAGGGTAAATCCACAGACACAGAAGGTAAATGAACTGTACCCTGCACACCTATACAGATAGAGAAAAGACATTTAACTGTGTATCTACCTTCAGTGTTTCAAATGATTTAAGTTGTTGATTTAAGCTGTTAAAAACTTACCA